ACTGGTCCATACCCTAATACATAATATGGATAGCATATCCCATACACCCTACCATCGATTGTACAGTGCCAAGATTTTTAGATATAGAAACAGCCAATTCCTGTGCATATATTGATAGGATCACCAGTGGTGTTTTGGTATATAATAATATTATTATAGAGATATTATCTTTTTCCAAAAATGCTGTTATTTTAAAAAAAAATTCTTTCTCTCTCTTTATCGCTAAGTGAAGCTCGGTGTGCAGTGTGTAGACGGTAACGGAGAACACAATCCATATATTTGCACAGTGTCTTGAAATAAGTTTTTTATTTTTAGTCAGTTGTTGTGGTATAAATATGTATACACCTTTTTACAAACTTTATATTTCTTACCTTAATTAGATATGCGCATGTGCAGTAGCAATTTTTTTCTTAAATGACAATCACCTATTTCAACCACTCATTTTTTTTTAAAGAATTTGATAATTTTACCATCTTTCTAAATTCAAAATTGACCAAGTTATAGCAATGCAGAAAAAAACCAGCAAAATATGTGCAATTTTAAATGTTTTGATTGTAAYACTTAAAATAATTATTCCATACTCTATAGGATTATTGAGGCTTGACAAAATGAACCCTATATATTATGGTGATATTTACACATAATTATAACTATAACTACTGAATAATTTTCATTTTAATCAATTTAAATTTGTACAGGTGAATTAAAACTTATAACAGAAAAACGTAAATAAAAATGTTTATTTAGTTACAGGTTATTAAAAATTATGAAAATGGAGTGTTGAATAATACGATTTTTACAAACAAATAAGTACCTCTATAACAAATATTTTATTTATGAATAAATATACAAACACTTAATTTATTTTTTTTGTTTCTTAAGACATTTGCCATCAGAAAAACATAAACTATGAATACAAATTGTAAATGTTAATTCTAAGCATCCTTAACATTTTTAAAAATCAGAATTTAAATAACTGCATATTAATGTATTAAAATCACATTGCACTATTACTAATATTATTAATGCAACGTATTATAATGGTATATAATATTACTGCCCGTATTTGAGCTATTTTTTTTAAACGGTAGTTGAACTTGCGTGTTTCCTTTTTTGGTATAATATTTCTTTATAGTGAAATAATATATATATATATATACATTAATTATTGCAGTAATGAAGAAATAGAATAAATTTCAGAGTAAAAAAYAATAATTCAACAAACTGTAATATATTGTATATCAATGAAAATATATTTAAATGATAATTGTATATTTACAAATATCATAGTTTCAATTATTTATTTTTGGCCACCTCTTTTTTTTTCGACCACTGTGCGTCGGTTCCTAAAAGAATTGGCTGTAGCTCATAAGCGCGTTTGACCCAAACACAACCCAAAAGCGCAAAAATAAATATCCCATAAGCGCAAATTAATTTTWTAAAAAAAAGTGTATTTTATTAAAATCATATAGCTAAAAACATATAATTAAAATCATACAGTTATTAATATACTATGCTATTTGTGATTATAAAATGTGTATTTAAATATAAAAATATATAAATAATTATAAAAATTGTATTTAATTTAATAGTAACAACTAATAGATGTTTTGTTTAAGATCAATAAAAAWAWAAAATAAAAAAATWAGTACCTTAATATTAAATTTGAAATTTGAAGCCCACAGTTTTTAAGTAATCCAATCTTGAAATATTTTTTTAAATTCGATAATACTAATTACTAAATTAAACTGAAATAATATACTACTATAATAATTTAAAAATGAAACCTATAGTGTAACGGGTACAATATTGTATCAGGTAATACAATTTATTTTTGCGCTTTTATACCACTACTAAGGTACAAAAGCGCAAATTCGTTTTGCGCTTTTGGTTTATCAAAAAAAAAAATTGACCTTTTACGCGCTTTTGGGCTCCACCGAAAGAATTCCTAAGGGCCCGTATTACAATAGTTGAACTCCGGTTAAACAACGGTATTCGGCCGGTAAAATCAGTGGTTCAAGCATAACCGAGGTTTAAACTATGATTGTAAAACGGGTCCTTAGTGAAAMAGACACCGTAGACAGGTACGGCGCGTTATGATTACCGTATTTCTGATGAAATTTACGTCTACGATACTGAAGATGACGTTCTGTTCATTGTTTTTACAGCTTTGATTTTTTTCAATCACCTACTTTATTAATTGTTTTTATGTTTTTCACTATCTTAATTTCTTCAATGACTTACCTACTTTATTAATTGTTTTTATGTTTTTCACTTTATCTTATTAATGTTCTTAAGATAAACCAACCAGTTTTTTTTTTTTATTGCTACCTATCGATATATCCCCACCAACCACCCAAACTTAAACTGTAACGACTTTATTAAAGATGTGTTGTTTTATTTTACGCACCTTAYGTGTGCCTTTAGTCCTGATGTAATTCAACTCCGGTCTAACTAATATTCCAAGTTTTATAACAACAAAGTTTTCATCGATTTTTTTTTTTTAATTTTCATAATTATTTAATTTAAGAGCCGTATGCTTAATGTTTACGATATAAAATGTCATAAATTTATCCATGTATTACATTTTCAACGTTAAAAAAAATTAAAATCTAACCTCTTAACTTGTAAACGACTTATGTATAACGATTAATAATATAGCTACAATATTATGATAATGTAATGTAATAGTATGTTAATAGTTAAGTATCTACCTGTTATACCTATGTGCTAATCATAATAATAAAAAAAAAACAAAA